TACATACATTATATCATTATGTATATTATTTTTTTATTTATATACATATTTATATGTATGTTGACATATATATATTTTGTATTTTTTATATATATATAAATATATAATATATATCTATATACCTATCAATCAAAATCATAATGTATATAAATATGTATGTATGCATATGAATATATATTATTATTTTTTTATTTCTATATACATACATACATACACACACACACACACACACACACACACACACACACACACACACACACACACACACACACACACACACACACACACACACATGTGTGTGTGTGTGTGTGTGTGTGTGTGTGTGTGTGTGTGTGTGTGTGTGTGTGTGTGTGTGTGTGTGTGTGTGAGTGAGTGAGTGAGTGAGTGAGTGAGTGAGTGAGTGAGAGTGAGTGAGTGAGTGACTGTGACTGTGACTGTGACTGTGTGCGTCTGTGTCTGCGTGCACCAACACGCATAGATAATCATACAGAGTGATATATTTGTTTTGGTGCACAAATACATATGTAAATCTATTTAAGTTATAAAGGTTTTTGATCATTATGATTCTTCATTTTAAGTAAGTGTGGTAAGAGAAGCTGTTACTTCGCTGTATGAATGCACACGACACGTGTGAGGTCATGTTATGTTGACATAGCAAACATTGTCGCTTCTCCTCCCCACCCGTTATCTCTCGCTGCTCATGCCTATTCACTTTTCTCTCCTTTTTATCCATTTGGTTCTCTCCCATTTATCTCATCATGCACGTTGCCTTCCATTTCCTTGTTATTCAAAAGTAGTAAGGAGGATATGTTGGGTTAGCTTGAGGTACAGAAAATATGAAAAGTGGATGTCGTGCCAAAACAAACACACCACTCAACCCTCACTCATCACCCCACCCACCACCACCACCACCACCACCACCACCACCACCCACCAACCACCCCACCCTAAATCCTTTCCAGTGCTTGCGTTATTCATTTACATTCTCGATGTCGCGCGGAAATTTTTCGTGTGTAGTGTCTCTGCGATGATTTAAAACCTTTGTAACGGTCATTTTCACTGGACGGACGAGTATCAAAAATTTCGAACGAGGCATTGGACGGACATCTTTGTGAAGGTTAGTACATGTATTTTATGTTATCAATAATATTTGCTCTCCTATCCTATCCTCCCCTCCCTCCCTCTCTCTCTCTCTCTCTCCTCTCCTCTCCTCTCCTCTCCTCTCCTCTCCTCTCCTCTCTCTCCTCTCCTCTCCTCTCCTCCTCTCTATATGTATGTTCAGCTATATTTTTATGGTTTTGCTTGTTTATAGACATATACTATGGTATATTTTATACACGGTGTGTGATGATTACGATTGTTTACGTATAGTAGGTGCATTTATTACTCTAAATAGGATTAGGTTAGGTTAGCAGCACACCGAAAGTGTGAGGTCTTGTTATGTTGACATAACAAAATCAGACCCCCCCCCTTTCCCCTCCCCATCATCTCTCGCTGCTCTTGCTACCCGGCCTATTCCCCCTTCTCTCTTTTTTATCCTTTTTTTTCATTCCTTCTATTTATCTCGACATGCTCCTCTTCTTCTTTGCCTCACATTTCATCTTTCAATTACTCCCAAAATAACTAAAAACTTGTGCAAATTATAAATTCTTATATATTTCTTCTGCAAAATCAATGACGATAAAACAGTCTGTTAATCACCACCACCCTAAATCCTTCCTTCCCACTGTTTGTGTTACCTCTCGCGGAAGCTCTAGTCCTCCATTTGCATTCCAACTGTGTCGCGTCAACATATCCTGCTGTACAGTGCTTCTGATACAGACCGTTTGCATTATTTTTGTGTGGTATTGTGAATAACTTGAATTAGGCTCTTTTGTGTGTTTGTTATGACACAGTGACGGTAAATGAAAATACAGCAAGGACTTATAACAACGCATTTCACGACGATTTTTTTGAATTTCGAAGGAAGCACTGGAAGGACTTAATTTTTAAGGTTAGTACATGTTATAAATTACTGTATTATTGTATCATTGTTAATATATTATTATTATTATTTATTGTTATATTTTATATATGTACATTTTTATTCATATTATAGATATCTATTTTTAAATCGTTATATCTCTTTGTTATTTATCGATTATTACACATAGCTTATTACGTACAAGTGTTGTTGTTGTTTTTTTTCATGTACTGGGTGATTGATTGTCATGTTATGCCGCAAAGACGAACGTTATATATTTGTTTCGATACAAAATATACTTGCTCTTGTCTTGTGATTAATAAATGATAATAAAAATACATATATTACTCTTTGACAATTTTGCTGTGACGATTATTTTTATATATATGAAAGGAAATATATATATATACTTGTACATAGGCCTACGCAGTACGATTCAAAGTAACAACATTAATGATATTTATATTTGGTGTTCATTATAAATGTTTACAAATGTTCATCGCATCTTTGAATGAGACTAATCGTTTTTATTTCGTA